GGGCGGGGGGGGGGCGGGGGTGGGGGGGGGGGGGGAGTGGGCCCCCTCCCTATTCCTAGATTATACCCCTAACACTTCAATCCCTGCCCCACCACCTGGACTGCTGCCTGTTGCCCCAATCACCCCCCTCCACCCACTGGATTGCCACCCTGCCATCCCAATCAATCTAAGAGCGCCAGTGGGGGTAGGGGTTCCCCGCCTGCCTGCTCCCAGGCTCCCTGCAGACAATGCTGGCCCTGCATACTGAGATCCAGCCCCTGCTGGACTCCAAGGCTGAAGGGGTGGGGGCAGGGAAGTCAAGAAGCTGCCAGATTGCTGCACAGCACAGTGGAGCCTGAGCCTGGATCCAAGTGTGCAGGGCTGGCATGGGCTGCAGGAAGCCTGGAAACAGGCAGGGAGAAGGACCGTCCATCCCCACTCCCCCAGCTGCCACAACTGCTCTTGGGTTGATTAGCATGGCAGGGCAGCAATACAGGGGTGGAACAGGTCATTTAAGTGGCGCAAGGGACCCTTCTGCCCCTCCTCCCCAGCCTATACTGCAGCTAGAGCCCCAATGAGTGGGGCAGGTACAAAGGAGACTTGTCAGCTCCTAGATACAACAGCCCTCTAGTGGCAGGCGTGAGCAGTGCACGAGAGAGGATATTAACCCTGAATGTGCAACTGATCACTAGTACATGTTAACTTTAACACAGACTAGCATTCTTTACAGTTAACACCATCTAACTAATGAGTTACCTCACCCTGAAACATCAAGTCACAGCATGTTAGTAACAGGACTGAAGCATGCTTGCTAACAACCCAAGATAAAATGTTCAAAAAGTCACTTTTGCTTAATCTAAACAGATATAGCATCTATATGATTTCCATGAAGGTACCAGTCTTCTTCCACTCAAGTATTGCTGAGTGGAAACAGCTATACACCTGTGTAACAGTGCTTTGTACTAGTAAAAGCAGGGCAATGGGGTTTCCACCTGCTTTTACCATATTGGTACAGTTAATGAAATGTTATTAGGGTAGACAAGACTTAAGGAGCTTAAATCTCTTTGTAAATCAGTGAAATCCATGCACTTTTCACAGAAGTCCTTAAGACATTTAAAGTCGTCTTTGACATTTTTTACCAAAAGACTAATAATTATTATTATTATTTATTTATTTTTTTACAGCTCTCCCCTTGAGTTTCTTAATTCAAGTTGGTCTAAATGGAATGATCCAGCAATCTCTTCCCTCACTAAAACTTTATCTTCTATATAAAATGGAGATGGTGCATAAGTTCCTTTACTTACAAACATGGTACAAATGACCCACCATTGAAGTACAATTTTTCACTTTTGTCAGCTGATTACATAAGAATGAAAAAAGCTACATTTTACAGCACTTGTCCTCTGTTACATGCAGATCAACACAATGAGCATAGCACCGGGAATTCCTGGAAGTCTCTTGAGATGGGACATGGGCAATTCTGGTTTTGTATAAAAGCAGGATAACTTCTTTACCCAAAACATATTCTGATTTATGGTGCGTTTCACACTTCCCTAGTTTCAAACTGTGCAAAATATGAAACTAATAATAGCTAGTCAGAGTATGTTGCTTCCTCAAAAAATATTAGACACTCCACCCTTCATCATTACAGAAAGCATTCTAATCTGTTTGGCACTTAAAGATTCTGGTGGCGGTTTTTTTGTTTCATAGACATTAGGGGCTGGAAGAGACCTCATGAGATCATCAGGTCCAGGCCCCCCCCGCTATGGGTGGGAAGTCAGCTGGGATCAAGTGACCCCAGCAAGAAATATATCTACCTGTTTTTTTGAACAAGTCCAGAGTAGGTGCTTGCGCCACCTCGGGGGGGGGAGGAGGAGTTTATTTCAGACCCTGCATACACACACTCTAAAGAACTGTTTTCTTATGTCTAGTCTAAATAGTCGTTCCTGGAGTTTATGGCCGTTAGACCTTGTTATCCCTTGGGGAGCTCTGTTGAACAGCTGTTTTCCCAGGTCCTGATGTACCCCTCTTATGTAAATGTAGGCTGCCACCAAGTCCCCTCTGAGCCTCATCTTCTCCAGACTGAAGAGTCCCAAGTCCCTCAGCCTCTCCTTGTACGGCCTTCCCTCCAGGCCTTGGATCATACGAGTGGCTCTCCTCTGGACTCTCTCAAGCTTCTCCACGTCCTTCCTGAAGTGGGGGGGCCCAATATTGGAAGCAATACTCCAGCTGTGGTCTCACCAGGGCCGAGTAAAGTGGGAGGATGACGTCGCTGGTTTTGCTTGAGATGCGCCGGTGGATGCACGCCAGAGTTTGGTTTGCTTTGCCAGCCACAGCATCACATGGGTGGCTCAGATTCATCTTGTGGTCAATCAAGACCTCCAAGTCCCTTTCAGTCGTGGTGCTAGCGAGCGTAGCACTGCCAAGCCTGTAAGTATGTTGGGGGTTCTTCCTACTGAGGTGCAGCACCTTACACTTCTCTACATTGAAGGCCATCAGGTTTTGGTCGGCCCACCTTGAGAGTGTGTCCAAGTTGGCCTGTATCCCTAGCCTGTCCTGCAGTGTGACCGCCCTCCCCCATAATTTGGTATCATCTGCGAACTTGGCCAGTTTACATCTGACTCCTGAATCCAGATCATTGATGAAGATGTTAAAGAGTACAGACCCAAGTACCGAGTCCTGAGGGACTCCACTTGTCACCCTACGCCACGTTGATTAGCTCCCATCAACTAGTACCCTTTGGGTCTGACCCCATAGCCAGTTGCCTAGCCATCAGACCATATGATAATCAAGGCCACAGTCCCCCAGCTTAACCATGAGGACATTATGGGGAACTAGGTCAAAGGCTTTCTTCAAATCCAGACATATGATGTCCACAGCATCTCCTTTGTCCAGGGCACATTACCTAGTCATAGAAGGAAATGAGGTTAGTCAGGCAAGACCTGCCAGTCACAAAGCCATGTTGGCTGGCATTCGGAAGCTTGCCTTCCATTAGTC